TATTCAATTGCATTGCATTGATCTTCACTAAGTGTCTGTTGATACAATCGCCATACTGCCTTCATACAACCACATATTATTCAAATTGTGTAGTGTTGTTAGCGGTCACAGTGATGCTGGATACAACTTATATGGACTTTTACTTTCATTACAGGTTCATTTTCCCATACATTCACTGTACCTGGGACATACTACTATTCCAGTGGTCCAGTTGACAGTGACGGGGAACTTTTCATGAAAGGAGTTGTTATTGTCTCTGATCCAGTAGCTACTGCTAAACCGCTAAGTCTAACTGTCAGTGGATTTGAAGCTTTGCACGAGACCAACTCTGGTATGTAAATTGAAAACAAATCATGTATGACAAATGGTCGAATTTGTTAGTGAGGACTGACTTGTTTGTACAAAAAGCCATAACATCGCAATATATAGTTCTTATAGATTTATGTATTCATAGTAGGTTGTGTCAACAATAATTGCAGGAACTTGGTAGAAATATTTATCTTTGCATTTAATAAATAATTTGTTTTCAGGTGTTCAGTCACTTCATCATCATCATCTGTCTGGCTGCTGATCCATCCTGTGCTACTCCCCAGCCCAGTTGGTGTTGACAGCAGCATATTCTACTTTGTATATACTGGATGCTATACTCCAATCATTGACTCTGTGAATCCTACTAGTGGTACCAGTGGTACACAAATAACCATTACTGGAGAAGGATTTGCAACCACGCAATGTGCTAACCAAGTCACTATAGATGGTCATCCATGTAACGTACAGTCCTGTACTGAGACCATAATTGTATGTGATATAGATACTGAAGATGCATTAACTGTTGGAGTTAAACATCCCATCACTGTACAAGTGGAGAACCATGGTTTTGCTTTGAACCGTGGATCAGCCACATTTGAACTGATTCCACACATTGATAGTGTTACTCCAGATAGTGGATCCATAGCTGGGGGTGCCAGAGTTACTATCCAGGGTAGTGGGTTCTCCAGTGATGCAGCAGTTGTAGGAATACCATGTGAAGTTGAGTCTGTCGCATACAATGAAATCGTTTGCATCACTTCACCAAATTTAGGAGGAGTGTTTAATGTTTCCATAATAATTGGCTCGACTACAAGTGAATGTCTTGGCTTGTGTTTGTATGAGTTCTCAAATGCCACGACTCCTGTTGTGAGTACCATCAACCCAACTGACATCTTTGGAGCAAGTACAAGCTTGACAATCACTGGAATGGGATTTGGTAATGGAGTTGTGACTGTGACAGTTGGTGAGCATGATTGTTCAGTGCAGTCACTAACAGACATTGAAATATCCTGTGATATTGGTTATGTTCCAGTTGGTGAGCATCAAGTTGAAGTCAACAGAGCTGATCAAGGTAGTTCTGTATTAGAATTAGGGACTGAAACAATAACAAGCATTCCAGTCATAGATTCCATTTCACCATCATCAGGAAGTATTAATGGAGGATCACTAGTCACTGTAACCGGAAGTGGATTCCATGTAGATGACACTTTGGTTGATATCGATGGAACAGAATGCAGTATCCAGTCAATAATCATCTCAGAAATTGTGTGTATCACTTCAGCCCATGCTGATGGTAGTGTTGATCTCACAGTCACATCTGGTGGAATTGAATACTCACCTGAAGTGTATACTTTCTCTGCTGCCCAGACCCCTGAAGTAACAGGACTGTCTCCATCTAATGGTGGTAGTGGGACAACTATTACAATCACTGGTACTGGATTCAGTTCCACATCATCTGATGTTTCAGTAACATTTGATGATGTTACATGTACTGTGATCTCATCATCTTCAACTCAGATTACATGTGATACTGGTGTGCACTCAGCGGGAACATTTGAAGTGA